AAAAAAAAAAAAAAAAAAAAATACCCGGTTTCGTACTACACGACAGTTTCCCTCACATATAGCAAAGTTGATGACGCACTAAATTCTCTAGAAACTCCTGAATAGTGCCAGCTCGGGTTAGGGTCATTATGGTCTATTACATTGATACTTTTTATTCTTGTTCCGCATCTGATGTATGTTTCATAACGTGCCGACTTATCATGAATGATCCGAAACAAACGGTGACGACGGTGAGCAATGAGAACGAGATGATGCGGGTTTCACCAGCTCTCTTTTATTGAGTTTTATCTTCCGGGTAATAGTAGAAAAAACATTCCATAAGAAAATTTTAGGAGATGTACATTGTTAAACGCGGTCAGCTGAATTGCGTCACTGACGATGGTATGATTGTTCTCAGCGTGCTCAAGGCAGGTGCTGTGTTCGGTCAGTTATCGATCTTGAATTTGTCTGGAAATGCTAGTGGTAACAAGCATACTGTTGCGGTTCGTTCTGTTGGTTATACAGATGTCTACATCCTTCGCCAAGAAGACGTTAATGATGTCTTACAAGAATATCCAGAAGCCCGACGTGATATGATTCAGAAAGGTAAAAAGATTTTTGAATGTTAACATGCTCTTAGTATCTAGAATTTTTATGCGTTTTGTGCTGTGTAACAGCAGTACAAAACGCATATTGTCACGGGTTTGTCTGTGTGTGTTTGTGCGTGTGTCCGCAGCAACTTGTCCGCAACTTTCAACTCGGGAACCACAAAAGCTAGGAAGCTGAATAGGGTAACGTTTCCCACCCACGTGTGACCCCACAAATTTAAATTCAGCTTCCCCGTACCCACGGGTAACGTGTACGGCCGGACGTTCCCCACCCATGTGTGACCCCGCAAATTTAAATTCAGCTTCCCCGTACCCGCGGGTAACGCGACGGCCTGCGTGAAAGATTTTTACGGGTAATTCTCGGGAACCACGGAGTCTAGGAGGCTGACGTTTTACGGTAATGACCCCCTGCCCACGCTTAACCTTGACCATTCAAACTCGGCCTTCCCTTACCCGCGGGTAATAAGTACGGCCCCATAAAAGTTATTCACGGGTAAGTTAATATCTCGGGAACCACGGAGTCTAGGAGGCTGAAGTTTTAGG